ATATATATATATATATATACTTGAGTAACATTCTTTAGGAAAAAATTGATCTCTTCGGACAATTACAAACGAATAAAACGTTACGCTACAATTAGGGTTCTCAACATTTTTAGTTTATGCACCCCTTTTCTAGTTGCATGTGAGGACATGGAACCCTTCGTAGGATAAAGTTTTGAAATGCATATAAAAAAATTAGAAAAGTAAATGCAACTCTCGGACCACCTGACACCTTTTCACCACCCCAAGCTATCCATAGTCCACAGGTTGAGAACCCGTGCGCTAGAGTGACAGGTAAAAAAAATAAACTACGTTGGTTTAAAAAAGTATCACAAATTTAAATAAATCAATAAGCAGCATGTGAAGGCGAAAATCCATAATTTGAATCCATTCACTTCCCCTGCGCCGTTTTTGTACAGACACGTCACTTCCACTTTTGGCACTTCCGGTGTTGCCACGGAAGAGTTACTGCCCTGTGAAGGTGGGTTGACAACGAGGTCGTCTTCGTAGCCTTCAAATTTCCAGTTTCCGCACTTGGGGAAATTTTTGGGCCTTCTTGGGAGCTGAGATTTCGCACCTACTTGGAAGAGAACGGACATTCCCGTTTCTGAGTGAAACTCCACATGGCAGTGGAACAACCAGATACCTGAAAGTGAAAGTGAAATTAATAATAATAATAAAATAATAAAGATTATTTGAAAATCACGCTTTATCCCCAAAGGCTTGAAGCGCGGTACATACCACATTGAAGTACAAAATGCAAAATTATAAAAACTAAATACCAGAATACCCATTCTAAGTCTTTCATGCCTTGCAACCAAAAACAACACAGGCAAATATACATCTAGGAGATAATAGCTAGATAACAACATCTTAAAAACATATTATTTTTTAGTGTAGTACGTTAAACTCAAACCAATATCCCCATAACAAGACCCCAACATTGGCTCCAGTCCAAAATTTTGTAGTCTAGCCCCATCTAAGGCTTCAGCCATAGGGCCACTATTTATTGGCGTAGAAAAGGGGTGAGGGGGGGGGGATCCGCCCCAGGCGGTACTTATTTCCTTTTTTTTTACCCGGTGACGAAGGAAGGCAAACATTCGAAAACGGCATTCTTTTTTTGTGAAAGGGAACGACAAAAATCTTGACTCGCCCCGGGCTGCCCTAACCCTAGCTACACCACTGCCACTACTCCATAACTCCCATATTCTGGCGTCATCTATGACTCCAGGCAAGGTTCCCATTTCTCGGGACAAGTAATAAGACCCCTAATAATAATTACTCCAGTTAAAGATCACATATTTTGACC